TTTTTTTTGCGACCTGTCAATCAGTCCAGTAGGCGTGTCAGCAAATGACCAGTCGGTGACCTCAACATGTCCTGAAGGTAAACGCCTCTTGTCTGTGGAGCCGACTGTAGCCACTCAGGGTGGACGCTTGAGTATGAAGTCTCAAACCTCTGCAGACGGTGCGCACAGTTTCCGTGCGGCTGACAGGACACGCAAGTATACTGGAGCCTTTAGTTCTGCTGCTATAGACTTAGACTGCTGGAGGACAAGCTGACCACATGTCCTCTCTCTGCTGCGTCTTTACTTACTCTATTCTTCCTGTTTGTAATTATTTCTATCTTAACATGTTTTTTGCATTTCCTCCTATAGAAAGTACACCTGGACCATAGAAAGTACACCTGGACTATAGAAAGTACACCTGGACCATAGAAAGTACACCTGGACCATAGAAAGTACACCTGGACTATAGAAAGTACACCTGGACAATAGAAAGTTCACCTGGACTATAGAAAGTACACCTGGACTATAGAAAGTACACCTGGACTATAGAAAGTACACCTGGACTATAGAAAGTACACCTGGACTATAGAAAGTACACCTGGACCATAGAAAGTACACCTGGACCATAGAAAGTACACCTGGACAATAGAAAGTTCACCTGGAATATAGAAAGTACACCTGGACCATAGAAAGTACACCTGGACTATAGAAAGTACACCTGGACTATAGAAAGTACACCTCCTCTGTTCTTGCTCAGGGTGGAGCCTGTGATGAAGTGAAGGTTCCTACAGAACTTCTACTGATGATCTTTGATCAAATCTCTGAAGGTTTAGTTCCTGACACGGTGTTGAGACTTGGAGCTACAGAAATGAACTGAATTTAGTTCAATTGGACAAACTCACCTGAGTCTCTGTGGAGATGACGTCACAACCAGCTCGTCCCTGATGTGTCCAACATCTGTGGACAGACTCTCCAGAGTCCCGGAGCAGATGGAGCTCGCCGCCGGAGGCTCCGGCTTCCTCATGGACTCGCTGCTCTCCCCCAGGCCGCCCTCCGGGCTCCTCTCCCCGGCGGAGCCCACGGAGCGCAGCGGGGGCTCGGAGCCTCCTCCCCAGCAGGAGCCTCCTCCTCCGCAGCCCCGCTCCATCTGCGCCTCCTTCCTAATCCGAGACATCCTGGCGGACCGCCGCTCCGGTTCTGACCCGGGACAGCCAGAACCACGAGCCGAGCCGATCCGAACCGGACCGGACGGAACCAGCGGAGACAAAGGTAAATAAATAAATAAATAAAATATAAAGTTTGAAACCAGAAAAGGTGAAAATATGACGGAGTTTAGACAAAAATTATTTTTAAAGTTTCATATTTGACATAAAGTAAAAACAAAATGAGACAATTTATTCATTGATTGTAAATAAACAGAGATAAACATGTTTTCATTTTTTATATTTAATTTATTAATCTTCAACAAATTTATAATTTTATTGGAAACAAAACATTTTCTTAAACTTTCAGCTGCATAAAATAAAATTAAGCTTTTTGTTTTTATTTATTCAAAACTTTAATAATGAGCTTCTTATTGATTATTGTTAAAAGATAAAAACTTTAGTACACATAAATGTAAATAATAAATATAAGAATTATTATATAAATGTAAATAATAAATATAAGAATTATTATATAAATGTAAATAATAATAATTATAATTTGTTGAGACGATAATCAATAAGTTCCGTCTTTAAAGTTTATCTGATCTTTTATTGATCATCAGTAAGAAATAATCAATAATAAAACAGTTTCTGATTCAGACCAGAACCACTCGATTGGGTCGGTTCTGCAGGTCTGTAAAAATATGCATTTCATCAAGAAAACAAACTGATCACTGACAGTTTAATGATCAATCAATCAATCAATCAATCAATCAATCAATCAATCAATCAATCAATCAATCATCTGATGTTGACTCTGGTTGGACATGGAGGTTCTGGTTCTTTGGGTTTCTCTTAATGTCAAACGGGTTTGTCCTCCTGTCAATCACTCAGAACCTGCCCGCAGCTCAGAGGCCGGGTCGGGTCGGACCAAGAAGGCCCGGAAGGCCCGGACAGCGTTCAGCGAGGCCCAGCTGTCCAAACTGGAGAGAAGCTTCCAGAACCAGAAGTACTTGAGTGTCCAGGACCGTATGGACCTGGCTGCATCCCTGCAACTCAGTGACACCCAGGTCAAGACCTGGTACCAGAACCGCAGGTAAATCAGTGCCACCAAACCTGGAACCAGGGAACACAGGCTGCTGGTTCTGAAATCCCAGAACCTCTGCAGTCTTTACAGAACTTTTTCATTGGACAAATGAAACATGTGTACAATGTAGACAATAACTAAATCAACCCATCAGAACCTGGTCCTGCTGCAGAAGTTCTGTAACCGAGTCATGTTTCTCTCCAGGACCAAGTGGAAACGTCAGTCAGCTGCAGGTTTGGACCTTCTGTTCCTGCCGCATCACTTCCTGTGCTGTCCTGCCCCACCCACACTGGACCACTTCCTGTACAGAGGCCACGCCCACCACCCCACAGTCGTGCCCCTGGTTCTGACCCACACGGACCTCAGCTGACGCCGGCAGGACCAGAGGATCAGCTGCTGGTCATCGGACCAGGCTCTGAACTGATTTTGGGACCGGGTACTGAACCCAGATCAGCTCATTCCGGTCCTGCACCAGAACTTCTGCTGACCGGTTCCAGAGGACCCAGAACATGAACTCATTCAGAACACACAAACTGGACCTGAATGGTCACCTCTGAGACAGAACCCTGAGAGACAGAACCGAGTCCAAATGAAGTCCTTCAATAATACACGGACCCGGGCTGCTTGGTTCTGGTCCTGTTCTGACCCGGTTCGGTTTCCCCCCAAACAGGTCCAGTCCAGATGGATTTGGTTTAGGTTCTGACCCGGGTTGTAAAGAGTTTGATTCTGATTCTTCAGTCGGTCTAGCAGGTCCACGTGTTTACTGAACCACAACCTGGACTAGAACCAGTTGGGGTTCTGGTTCAGATTTGACCCGGTCCAAGTCGTTTTTTTTAGTTAAAAAAAAAAAAAGTTCTGATAAAGTTCTGAAGGGTCACGTTGCTCCAACATCCCAGTCCGGTTTCAGCTGGCTGGTTCTGAGGTTCTGGTTCTGAGTCTCACTCACACATCGGGTCAAAACCAACATTTATCTGCTTTACATGACTGAACATCCCGACCAGAACCAGGAGTCCAGTTGGAGCTGACAGCTAATCTTTGTGGGTCTGATTAAATGTATTTCATATTTTACCGTCCCTGAGGTTCTGGACCGTCTCTCGGGAGTTTGGATCAGGACTCAGACCAGCGTCCCCACAGCACAGTCCCGGAACAGTTTTTACGTCCTGACCCCCACATGAACCGAACAGAACCTTTGGCTGGAACTCGTTCGGCTGCCATCAATGAATTCAAGCCTTTAAACGAAGGTCATGTGACACCGGAGTGGGCGGGGCTTAGAGCCCCACTTCACAGGGCAGACTCTGGTTCCAACCGGTCCCTGCTGGGTTCAGGTCCCAGCCAGAGATGCTGGTCTACAACTAGATTAATGCTGGTGGTTCTGGAGCAGAACCCGAGTCCAGAACCAAAGAGCTCGGATCGTTTCAGGTCCTAGATGGAGCCAAACATCTGGACCCGTTTGGAGCTTCAGCTCAGCCAGATGTGGACGTTCAGAAGATCATTGATGTGTGGTTTGAGTTTCATCTGAAGTTGTTTGTCACAAACAAACGCAAAGAAAGAAAAACAAACACACAAACAAATAAAACAAACACAAACAAACAAACAAACAAAGAAGAATAAGTTTATTAATGAAGTCTGCTGGACGAGTCGTGGGACCAGCTGGATGTTCAGACAAAGTCTGAAGTTTTCAGTTTTGGACCTGGAGTTCTGTCCCAGAACCGCCCGACCCGGCCCACACGGTTCTGCAGCGACTGGCCGTTAAAAAAAAAATCCATCGGAGGCTGAAATACTGATGCAGTTCAAAGCTCGGAGGGAATAAAGAGCTGGTTCTGGAAGCTGCTGCCGGATCGGACCGGGTCAGCTCTGGTTCTGGTTCAGCTGGACACAGACGGTTCTGAGGGACTTTAAAATCAGTAAAATCACAAACAGGATTTATTGAAAACGACTAAAACAGATTTTATTTTTTAACTCATGAAAATCTTCAGTTTGTGTTCGGAACCGGTTCTTCGGGTTTCTTCAGGTTCTGCCTCGTTAGACCGCTGTCAAACAGTTCTGTTGATCCGGTGGAACAGAACCTTCAGTCCACTTGGGTCAAACGGGTTCTGACCTGGACAGCTTCTCAGTGAACTGGACCGTAACGGGCTACCATCGGTCACAAAACAAAACTCTAAAGATGGCCGCCTCCTCACTCGTCCTCCTGACTCCTCTTCTTCCTCCTCTTGCTCCTCACGGTGTCTCCTCCCTCCAGACCGCTGGAGAACTCGGACCGGAGCAGAACCACCTCCCTCCGACCCGGATGGAACCTGCAGAAAGACAAAACAAATCCACCTGAAAATCTGTGAGCAGTTCCATCTCCATGGCAACAGCAGCTGGGGCTCATGGGTAATGTAGTTTTTAGAGTCAAGTCTGTTGGATCAAACGGTTCGTTTCCGGTAGAAACTAATCGAAACAAAAAACTCACTTCTTCTTTCCAGCAGTCTGGTTCTGGTTCTTGTGCGGAGTCTCAGCCCGGTTCCTGCCCTGGTTCTGGGTGCGGCCCTTGTTGCCGGGGCCCCTGGGGCCCGAGGAGGAGCTCAGGCCCTGCGGAGCGTCTCTGAGGCCGAAGCTCTTGGCCGTGTGTCCCAGGTGGAGGGAGCGGATGTGGAAGATGTGTTTAAGGGGCGTGGGATACGCGGTGTACGCCCGCAGGAAGGACTGCAGCGCTGTGACAGCACAGACGGGTCAGCCAATCAAATCACAGCACATCGACCTGATTGGTCACATGATCAGCGTACCTTTCTTAGCAGCCTGCAGGGACTGAGCGCTCGAGTGCACAAAGTTCTCGAAGTCCGTCTGAAGGACGGTGGCGCGTTCACGGACCTCCTGCTCCAGCGCTTTGGACGAAGTCTGACAAGACACGGATATCAGGTCATCGACGGTCAGGGGTCATGTGACACCGTGACGGTCAGGTCAGGGGTCATGTGACACCG